AATTTCCTAGATGCTTAGACCTCCTTGAGTGGAATGGTGTAAGTATTGGTGACTCTTACAGAAATGACAAACAGTGTAAGGTATTCATTGATGTTATTGGTAGCATCTATCATGATGCATTAAAACAAATGTTAAAGGATGCAGACTTCTTCTCGGTACTCTGTGACTCTAGTACAGACAGGAGTGAGGATGAGAAAGAAATAGTGTATGTAAGAATTGTGAAAAATGGTCTGCCAACATTCTTATATATGAAACTAGTAGATGTAAAAAGTGGTAAAGCAGATGGGATTGTTCAAGCTATAGACGAGGCTTTTGCAGACTTTGACATGGATGGTGCTGAGTGGCGAGCTAAAATGATTGGATTCGGCAGTGATGGTGCAAGCGTAATGACGGGAAAGACAAATGGTGTTGCAGCAATTTTACAACGGGATGTCCCATGGCTAGTCCAAATCCATTGTCTTGCACACAGACTAGAGCTTGCAATAAAGGACTGTTTAAAAGACACATACATGGACGAAATTGTCAATATTCTGGTTTCTGTTTATTATTTCTACAAAGGTTCTCCCAAAAGGCTACGAGAATTAGAAAGTATTGCTGACATTATGGATGAGCAGTTCTTAAAGCCTGAACGAGCAAACGGGACAAGGTGGGTTGAGCATAAACAAAAAGCCTTAGCAAAGTTGGAAAAAACCTGGAGATCTATTGTTGTTCACCTAGAAAGCTATGCTTCTGACATGACAAATCGAGCAGAAGACAGGGCAAAAGCCAGAGGAATCAACAACAGATTGCTTCAATACAAAGTGGTCCTCTACATGCATTTTCTCCTCGATGTGTTTGACCAGATGTCCCAGTTGTCCCTTTTATTTCAAAGAGATGACATAACTGTTCCTAGTGTGGTTCTGAAGTGTGAGCATGTTCAGCTTATGTTGACATCTCTCCTGACTGTGAATGGATCCTACCTTGAGTCTTTCTATCAACATGTTTATAAATTCAATATATTTGAAAAGTAAAATTATTTGATATGTTTAATAATTATGTATTTATGTTGGGCGTTAACGGGAGTCACCCTAACAATTTTATGGAAAGGAGTAAAAGAGCGGAGCGTAACAGATTGTGAAATGCGTACCGACATACCATGGGCCCAGGGGCCCAACTGCTCCATGATAAGTTCTGAAAGAGAAATCTGTACACAGCGAGATGTCCGTAAAACATCCTCTACATAATTATTAAAGGTGGGGTAAGGTAAAGTGAGAAGAAAAAGTCGTTGGTGGCAATAATGACATAAACTGCAGGGAATAAGAAAACCGGAAGCCCTTTTGTGCAATATTTAAGGACCGCAAATGCACCGGAGCGCTAGTAGTTGTTTGTTGTTGCCGAGCCCGGTAGAAATTTGTTGAGAAAATTAGGGGGGGGGGGGGGGCAACTAACTGTTGATCAATGTGCGTCCTTATAATGAAAATGAATTTTGATTTTTTATCAGGAGTATGTGAAGGATTTGACATTAAGTTGCATCCCGTTGTGTGAAAATCTTTTTTGCGCCATCTTGAAAGAGTGTGTCCTGCGGAACGGAGTGACTAAGTGAGAAATACTGAGACGAATAGTAGAATAGATGATGCACATAAACTTGCTGTAATGCTTGGTAAAGATAAAAAACATATTTAGAATACAGCCGTATTCCTTGGCTTACCTTTCTTGTTGCTCGCTGTGTAAAATTCTTTTCCGACTTTCTTCTTTCGCGGTAGCTGTATATCTGCACCTTTGTTGGAATGTTGTGCCCATGTGATTGGGTTCGGGTTACTGATTGGTCCAATGCCTAGTGCTCTGGGTCATGACCCGGAGATAGTTAACGCATGCGCTGGGACACGTAAGAAATTGATAGGAATGACTCCCGTATAACAATATATTGCTTTATAAAGGAAATTATAGTTTTACAATAATTTCTGTATAAATGGCGCTGTGTTCAAAGGTCAAACTCTTAGAAATGTAATCCAGCCAGAAGTGTGAGACAGACAGAGAGATTATCATCAACTCACTACTGCAAATAATGGACAGAAAGTTTGGAAACATTCTTGGTGGGACTGATATTTTTAAGGCAGCTCAGATCTTTGATCCAAGAAACTGGCCAGACAATCGCAATGATCTGACTGCTTTTGGGCGAGAAGATCTCCAGACACTGCTCAGACATTTTGAACAAGTGCTGGCCAATACAAACCCTCCAGTTAATGCAAATGATGTAAACCTCCAGTGGGAAAAACTCTTGTTCAGGGTAATGTGAACTTAAAGAGCCTCCACCCTAATTCCCTATGGGAAAGATTCTATTTAACAGATCAGGAGAGGGACGAGTTTGCTTCGATTTTGAAGGTGATCTTCTTGGTAGAGACTTACCCACTCTCAACTGCATGCTGTGAGAGGGGGTTTTCTACCATGAAAAGGATTAAGAACGACTGGCGTTGCAATTTGGCAACCCCAACTTTGGACACATTAATGAGAGTGAAAATAGCTGGGCCTCAAGCCCTGAGACAATATGACCCTCTACCTGCAGTTAACAGGTGGTGGTTGACTGGAGAGAGGGCAAGGAGGCCAAGTTGCCTCCAACTTTCAGACCAGGGAGCAAGTAGTTGCCTCCTAGCAAAAAAGTTAATTTCGAACAGTGGACCAAGTTCCTTTTTTTCAGAGGGCGAGCGATAATGTCACAGAAAACAGTTTCGGATGGTTTTTTCATTTTGCTCAAAGATACACTTGTAAAGCATAATCTTGAAGGAAAACTGGGTTGCACCTATAACAGTGATGAAACATTTTCAGTCTCAGGCAAGCACAAAAAGAGACCTTTCTTTAAGAGAGGTCGATCACTTCCTCCAGCCATATTACAGTTTTGGAATGTGCCAATGAAATGGGGGATCTGCTGCCGCCCATGATCATTTTTTCACTTTGTTCCAAGGTCCTCTGAACTCCGTGTACGGTTGCTCTCCCTCTGGATACGTTGATTCAGATAAATATCTGGATTGGTTTCAAAAGATTTTCTTGAAACATACAGTAAGAAATGGCCCAATTATTTTAATTCAGGACAATTTAGCGGTGCATGCATCAAAAGAACTAATCGACTGTGCCAGAGACAATGGTGTAATTCTGCTTAATATACCAGCCATACGAGCCACTACTTGCAGCCTATGGACCAGGTGTTTAAAGATGTGAAGTTAGAATTTCGTAAGATTGCCAAATCGGCAAGCCTACTTAAAAAGAATTTGGTGATTAGTAAAGGTACATTTCCAGCAATACTTAAATTGGCACTTGCCAAAGCATTTACTCCTTTGAAATTACAACATGCCTTCAAAACTACAGGTATATATCCACTGGACAAAAGTGCAACTGACAAATCAAAATTTATAGAAAACAAATATATGACAAACAAGATGGAGACAGTATGCCCTCTGCTTATGGAATGCGAGACAGACGACAATGACAAGAGGGACATCGCAACGCAAACAGTTTACGACGACTTGGGACGCCCAACAGACAAGACAGACAATACCACACAGACGGAATTACCATACTCGTGCAATACATGTGGCCAAGTGTGCAATATATCAGAGCACCCAATGAGGCCATTTCCCCTAACATTGCCAAGTTGTTGATCTTTCTCGCTGAAAGTGCCCCTGGCCATAAACGTAGAGGGACTGATTACACAAAAGCTCAAGTGTTAACCGCGGATGAGACCCATAACACAAAAAAAAAAAAGAAAAGAAGAAGAGGAAAGATAGAGACGGGAAGAGAAAGAAAAGAAGCGAGAGGAGATGAGGGCAAAGAGAGAACAAAAAGCAAAAGATTTGGAAGAAAAGAAGAGCTGTAGAAAAAATGAGAAAAGCTGAAGATGATGCTAAGCGGAGGATGGAGAAAGAGGAGGAGAAAATAAGAGCGGGTGAAGAGAGAAAGAAGAAGAAGGCCGAGGCACAAGAGTTAAAGCTGGCACAGAGGGCCTTGGAGGTGAAACGCAGAAAAGAGAAGAAGGAAGAAGAGAGAAGAAAGAAAACTGAGGGAAATGAAGCAGAGGGAAATTTCTTCGTTGAAGAACCTCTGGAAGGAAACGAGGTGCCAAGAACACCCTTTAGACCAGCATTGTTACACGAGTTCTCTGCAAAATTTCTGTTTATTGTATTTGTCACACTTTCGATAAATTCTTTGTTGATGATATGTTAGCTGTTAATGTTAATTAACAGCATTGTCACCATGAATTAAAGGTTTTATTTTGAATGTTTTCTGGTGTTGCTTCCTTGCGACAGGCCAAAGGAATGATCGATGAATTTTATAATGATAAATACCAATATGATACTTAAAATTCATTAAAATTGATAAAATATTTTCAGTTTAGCATTTTAAATGACCAGACTACTAAACATCACTTTGGACTCTGACGTAGCTGCAATTTCTTGGCTTGTTCCATAATCTGATTCAAGGCAGTAGTAAATTAGTGGGCTATTCCATTATTTGAGATATATTTGGATTTAAATCTAAAAGTCAAAGACCATTTTAATATGAATAATACCAGCTGTGACTTTCATTGATATTCACAACATAAAATGTTTTCATCGTTTTATTGTCTCTTAGACCCCTTACATGACCCGTACACTACATGTTGCCTTGCATCTTATCTAACACACTCTGATGCAACGTTATCTGCACACTTCCGGTTTTGTTCCATAATCCGGGGTTTGAGAACAACACGAAGTTAACCATTATTTTAGCATTTTTCTCCAACAATGACCCCAATCATATGGATTACGCTTTACAGGATAGTAAATAAAGCTCTATCGTAGCTACATGCAAAATATTAGAGGTTAGTTTTATGTTCTTTTTATACAGACTGTGCAAAGCTGAAAAACGTCAAATATCGTTCCATAATTCGGGGCGGAGTCTATATGTAAATAAATTTAAAAAAAAAAAAAAAAAACGGGTTTTAATACAACAGCAACAGATGCAACGTTGAATCTTTCCCATAATACAACAATAATGTCATAATGGATATGTATTCCCATAATATAACAGTAATTGTTGAAATAGCAGTAATACGGTTACTGTTTATGTTACTGTATATGTCAAAATGAATAATTTTTTCTTATACTGCAATTGTTTATGACACAATGGAAGACGCAAAAGCAATTCTGTCACAATGATAACAACAACTGTTGATATCACGCTGGATAATTTAATTCTTCCCATAATGCAATTGCAATATGTCACAATGATAACAGCAATTGCAATATGTCACAATGATAACAGCAGTAATTGTTAACATAACAATAAATTTCTTCCCATAATACAACAGCAATTGCTTATGTCACAATGGATTACACTCGCACTCGCCAGCACGCCAATGCGAGTGAAAATTAAATCTGGTGTGTGAAATTTATGATGCAAGTCGCCATTTTGGCGAGTATATTTATGTCAACTTTCTATATTAAGTGTATCGGCAAAATTTAGACTCAATAAAAGTCCAATTGACATGCCAACATTGATCAACATTTACGAAGAAGTTCAAGGAATTCCCCTCACTGCTAACCTCGTTTTCACTCGCATAAGTAATAATCGTGATTGGTTAATGTTGAGGAATGCTGTAATGACGTATTCACAGTCTCACTGTCGATTTTGAAAGCCCCTAGCCTTCGTTTGCGCGACAGAGTTTGATGAAGTACATCTTGGGATTATGCGCAGTCGATACTTCCGGGAGAAAGCGTGCAAGTGGATCATGCAGATTTGAAAGTTAAGAACGTCCCGTAGAAGAGACTGAGAACGTCTCAGAATCAGCATCAAGTAATGAGTAAATAAAATCAAAGCAGAAACGAAATGATGCAAGCTAACGGTCTGAGCTCTCTGACCCAAAGCATGTTTTTGACATTCTCTAAAAAATATTTTTCTGAGCAGAGCAAAAGAAGTTTTTTCAAATGCGCGAAGATAAGATAAGATAAGATAAGGGGTAAGAGAACTTGAATTACCTATCTAATTTCACACCTTGCGCTAATACAATACCATTCAAATAATGCAATATAACGGATTTTATTTCACCTTTGACACACTTGAAATTTTAACAACTTCATTAGCTTTACAGCTTTCACCAAATTCATCGACCTACAGAGTTCACCCTTAATATCACATGAGTCTAGTTGTAATATTAATAATATTTAATTAAAGCTCATTTTAACATTTATATTTAAACAAGTACTTCTAGTGCGTAAATGTTGAGTAAAACGATCTGTAAAACGATTAATCAAAACAGTTTTTAATTTTATCTTTATTTGCAAATTGCATATGACTTATAACCAACTATGAAGCATTGGTATCTGATAGTTAACATCTCAATCATCTGTCATTACCATATGGCCTGCAATTTGAATATTTGGCTGGTAACTTCTTAATAAAACAGGCCACAGTCTGGCTTGTAAATTTTCAATTTGGCCTGTAACTTTCAAAACTTACTAGCCAAATTGGCCTCTGCTATTTCAAACGAAGGTCAAACCCTGATAATATATTCTTTCAGTTGTTGATACAGTGATGCATCCGTATCGGAAAAACCATTACCTGGAACTCCCTCTCGCTGCAGGAGTATTTCCCCTTAGATCGCCAATACCGAGATCGCCATAGAAACTTTTGAGCATGCATTTATTTGCTGAAAATGTGCTCATTAGTTCAAATCTGCGGCATTTTTCGTGCACTGTTTCTCAAAATTGGGGGCATTCACTAGGAAAAGGGGGCAATGCCCCGATGCCACACGCTGGATGCATCACTGTTGATATCACTTTGGATAATTTATGCCCATATTAAAATTGTCTATCTGCTTATAGCAGGAATAATATTGTTGATGTCACAATGGGTAAGTTCTTCCCATAATGCAATTGCAATTGTTTATGTTACAATGATAGCAGCAAGGATGTTTATGTCACAATTGCTCACCTGTACCGGCCCATAATGCAATAGCAATATTATTGTTGGCGACACAACAGCCGTTTATATCAAAATGGTTAATTAATGCCCATAATGCAATTGTTTACGTCACAATGGATCACATATTCCCATCATGCAATTGCAATAATTATTGTCTATGTCACAATGGTTACAGCAGCAATAATATTGTCAATGTGATATATATGTATCAACTTCCATTCACAGGTAATATTTTTATGTATTCCCATGATAGAACCAAAGAATAGATACACACACATGTAGGACAACTTTCTGGTTTTATATAGAATTGCATTGGACATGTATCCTTAATTACCTGTGTGTTTCTGCACATATCCCTGGTAAGTTCTTCAGCTTATGAAGTTTGCAGATGATCATGACTTCCAGACATCAGCACAGAGATGAACATGACATAAAGACCAAATTTTTTAATAGTTGTAGATCTATGTAAGGCTTTCTGGTTTCCTAAAAAATAAAATAAAATAAAATAAATGTTAAATAAATAATATTTCTTTGTTTTTTTTTCCAATATATTGTATCTCAAAATAAATTTGTTACAAGGATATTTATATACTAAAACTATATAACAACATATCATCATATGTTATAATTATCAAAACTACTCTTGCTTAAAATGAAGGAACATTCCAACAGTGAATTACAACAG